CAAAAGGCTGATACAAAAAAGTATTTCACTGTTAGAAAAACCATAAATACAAGTGAATATACTACTCTTTTATATCAACTAACTCCTCTTTTCTTTGATTTTAGGATATCACTTAAAGTTATATAAGTGAATATACATTCACTATAATATTGTTTTAGAAATTATACACTAAAAAGAGATATCACCTTGGAAAATTCTAGATACATACAGTATTTCCAACTGACCGAATTTTTACTGTTCTGAATGTTACCCCCTACCCCAAGAAACAAAGATTCTATGTATTCTATTAGCACACTTCTTTTCATTATGGTAAAGCTATTTGAACTGATTTTTGTTTTTTACTTTCAGACATTAATGGTCTTATAAATATTCTGAATCTAAAAAAACATAAACTAAAATCCCGCCTGTAATCATATAGAAATTGTTTTTTATACTTTCTCCCTTTCGGTGTATCTGCTGTAGCGTCTATTTCAGTTGGAATCAAAATTGTATTAATCACTTACTATTTATAAATTTTTTTACATATTTCCACAATATAAGCAGCTTATTTATACCCTCCTACCGAAACATGCATACTAGTTTCATGCTGCGGATGGCCTCACACACTTTGGCGGTTGTCTTTCTCCCGGTTTCACGTGCGTGTGCGGGCTGTCTGTCTCTTTCTCTCTCTCTGTGCATGTGGCTGTGTGTGTGTGTGTGTGTGTGTGTGTGTGTGTGTGTGTGTGTACATGTGTATTTCCCTCCATGTTGCTCCATTAGGTTAAGACTTAAGTAGTGTCACCACAAGAAAATGGGGAGAGAAGCCTAGGAGGTATTTCTTGAGTATCGATTCTATCATACCCTTCCATTCTTCAAATATATACTTGAAAATGGAGAAAAAAAGATAATTGAAAAGAGTGAAATACTCTTGGGTGGACTATGCTTAACCCTTCATTAATGAGTGACATAAAGCTTTGAAAGGTATTTTAAAAGTCAATCAGAAAATGTTTTTGTCTTTGAGCGAAAATGGACACTGTGGATCAGCAATGAAGGTATTTAAGAAGCAGAAGGGTCTTTTGGGAGCTAGAAAGGAGGAGCCTTGCAAATGATGACTAGTTGATAGGTGGGAAAAGTTTGGAGAATCTGGGAATCTGGAGTAAAACCTCTCAGTTGACGAACAATGGCTGTGGCCTCTATACAGTGTCTTTCTCATTTGAGCCAAGCCTCATATGGCAAAAATAAATTCTTAAAAAACCTAAATGGACGTGTTTTCTCAGGAGTCCACTGTTCCTATGTACAGTCTCCTAGAAGGCACAAAATGTTCCTTGAAGTAGCCCCGCACTGAAGAGTGGGTGCACAGGACCCAAAACAGGCATCACTGTGCGTGCAGCTACAGCGCCATCCCCAGGGACACCACGTGCGCAGTACATGCTGTACATTACTCTTCTCAAAAAGGTGTCATCATATTTTAGTCCACATGAATGTCAGCTCCTTGTGAAGGGCACTGCACGCTGAATGGCTGAATGTGGCATCCCAGACCAAATGCTCCCCATTCATGCAGCCTTTATTCAAGTCCCTATAAGTGTTTACTTTCACACTGCCACCAAGATTTATGCCAAGGAACTAGGCAAATTCTAGCCCCCAAGAGCTCCCCTTTTCATCCAGCCCTGAGTGAGAATTCAACATGTAGATTTTAGTTTTGTTTTGTTGTAATCCCAGCTACTGGGCAGGCTGAGGCAGGAGAAGCCCTTGAACCTGGGAGGAGGAGGTTTCATTCCGCAGAGGTCATGCCACTGTACTCCAGCCTCAATTACAATGTCAGACCCTGTCTCAAAAAAAGAAAACCAAAATCAAACAGTAAACAACTTAAATTTACTGGCTAATTAGAAGAAACCAACCACTCACCAAAGCGTTCTGTTGTCCTGAAACTCCAGCTGTGATGCAGAACCTAAATTCCAACAGAAAAACCAAAGAATACAATAATCTGGATGCAAAGAAGTGGAGAAGAGTCAGAGGGTATCCGGCTGGAGAGAGCAGAAATTTCATTTTCAGGCTATGGAGTAGAAAGACCCTAAAGAAATTAATGCGAGAGACAGGCAAGACCGATAATGGGCTGGAAGACAAGAAATGCTGTTTAATTTCTCTTAGCTGCATGCTTCTTTATAGTTCATTTATTTGGCCTGTGTGTGTGTGTGTGTGTGTGTGTGTGTGTGTGTGTGTGTGTGTGGTTAATAGCTCTGAGACTTTTTAACTCTAAAATTTAGTGTTTGCATTAATATATTTTCCATACTTTTACCCAACTTTTACAAAGGTCTTCATGTTTATAATGTTTGTTTTAGAAAACAGAGTTGTTTCTTATTTTTATGTAATTTGACGATCTCTGTCTTAATTGAAGCACTTTGATCATTTATATTAATATAGTTATGTACATGCATTTAAATCTGCTGGTTTTCTAGTTTGCTATGTTTCATCCTTTTCTTATTCCTAATTTTCCTGTTTTTCTACCTTATGGTAGATTTACCATTTTTATCATTCAGCTCTATTTTCTCCACTCTTGTCTTATTAGTTAGGTCAATCTAAAAAAATAGCAGTTACTCTAAGGTTTACAAAGTTAATATTTAATTCATCACAGTCTATCTTCAAAGAATAGTATACTAGTTTATGTATAGGTTAAAAATCTTATAGTATGCTTACAATTCACCCCATCCTTTGTTATATTGTTGTTAATTATTTTTATTAATGTTCTAATCCCCACACACATATTTGTTTAGACTGTTAATTTTATTGACTGATTAATAAAATAATAAATTGTCCTCTGTGTGAAGCCCCAATATTTGAGACAGGTCTCGAGAAATTTAGAAAGTGAATTTTGCCAAGGGTGAGGATGCACACCCATGACACGGCCTCAGGAGGTCCTGGTGACAGGTGCCCAAGAGGGTCAGAGCACAGCTTGGTTTTATACATTTTAGGGAGACATGAGACATCAATCAGCATAGGTAAGATGAACATTGGTTTGGTCTTGTCCACAAAGTTGGGACAACTGTAAGCAAAAGTGGGACACCTCAAAGTTGGGGGGGTTCTGGTCAAAGATAGGTGACAAAGAATTTTATTCTTTTGAGTTACTAATTAAGCTTTCCACAGGAGGCAATCAGACAAGCATTTATCTCAGTAATCCAGAAGGATGACTATGAATGGAATGGGAGCCTGGTTTACCCTAAGCAGTTCCCAGCTTGAATTTTGCCTTAACTTAGTGATTTGGGGGCGGAGATATTTCCCTTCCAAGTCCATATCTACATCTTTACCATTTTCTGGGTTTTTAATTTGTTTGTGTAGATTCACGTTTCTGCTTGTTATTTTTTCTGCCTGAGAAAATGTGTTAACATGTCTGGTAAGGCATTTCTACTGGGGTGAATAATCTAAATGTTATTTGTCTGAAAAAATTATGTCATTTTTGTGTTTATTATAGTGATAATTGTGAGCGCACCGAAAGAAATTTTTATTTCTCAAAATCGTTTGCTATTTTCTAACATAACCATCTTTGTTCCCACCCACATCTCATGTTGAATTGTAATCCCCAATGTTGGAGGTGGCGCCTGGTGGAAGGTGATTGGATCATGGGAGTAGAATTCTCAGGAATGGTGTAGCACCATCCCTGTGGTGCCATTCTCATGATAGTGAGTTGTCAGGAGATGCGGTTGTTAAACAGTGTGTAGCACCTCCCCCATCTCTCTTCCTCGTTCTCTGGCCATGTGAGGGGCAACCTCCTCCCTTGCCTTTTTCATGATGGAAAGTTTCCTGAGGCCTCCCAGCCATGATTTCTGTACAACCTACAGAACCATGAGCTAATTACACATACATAAAAATGTGGAACCAGCACGTGCACTGGGCAACAGGCAGAGGCCGAAACAGTTTGGAGGGCTCAGAGGAAGACAGAAAGATGAAGGAAAAGGTGAAATTTCCTAAAGACTTGTTTAATGGGTTGTGACTAGATGGCTGATAGTGATATAGACACTGAAGACCAGGTGGAGGAGGTCTCAGATGGAAATAAGGAAGTTATTGGGAGGTGGAGTACAGGTCACTTTGCTATGGATTATCAAAAAGCTGGTAGCATTGTGTCGCTGCCCTAAGGATTTCGGGAACTTTTGAACTTGAAAGTGATGGTTGAGTGTTAGGTACAAGAAATTTCTAAGCAGCATAGCATTCGAGGTGGGGCCTGGTTTCTTCTAATAGCCTATGCTCTTGTCTGTCAAAAAAAAAAAAATGATCATTGCATAATGTATACATATAGCAAAACATGTTGTACACATTAAATATATACAATTATTGTATCAGGTAAACCTTAAGAAATTGGAAAAAAATTGGCTGAGTAATACAAGAAAGTATTTCACTGAAAGAAAACCCGTAAAAACCAGTGAATATACTATTCTTTTTGAGAAACCGTAAAAGAGCTGTGTCAACTAAATCTTATGTTTCTTTGATTTTTGCATACTACTTGAAGTTATATAAGTAAACATGTATTTACTATTACACAGTTTTTGAAATTATACACCAAAAAGAGTTATCACTTTCAAAAATCCTATGTACATACAGTATTTCCAACTGACACAATTTTTACTGTTCAGAATGCTGCCCCATACCCAAAATGCAAAGATTATATGTATTCTATTAGTAAAATTGTTTTCATTTGGAAAAGATGTTTCAACTGATTCTTTTATGTTACAAGAGTAATGGTCTTATACATATACATACATTGTGAATCAAAAAAAACATAAACTAAAATCCTGACTGTAACCATATAGAAATTGTCTCTTATAGTTTCTTACTTTCCGTGTATCTGCTGTAGCCTCTAATTCAATTGGAATCAAAAGTATAGTAATCACTATTTCCAATACTTTTTACACATTTCCAGAATATAAGTAGCTTCTTTATAACCTACTACTAAAACATGCACACTAGTTTCATGCTGCAGATGATCTAACCTAGTCTAGCACTTATCTTTCTCTTGCTCTCTGTCTCTCTCATTCTCTCTCTCTCTCTCTCTCTCTCTTTCTGTGTGTGTGTGTGTGTGTGTGTGCATTTCCCTCTATGTGTCTCCATTAGTTTAAGATTTAACATGTCACCACAAACAAATGGGGAGAGAAGCCCAGAAGCTATCTCTTGAGTATTCTATCATAAACTCTGATTCTTCAAATATATTCTTTAAAACTGGGGAAAAATACATAATTAAAGAAAACGAAATATTCTTGGGTGGATTATGCTTACCCCTTCATGAATTGGTGACATAAAGCTTTGAAAGGTATTTTAAAACCTAATCAGAAAATCTTTTAGTATTTGAAAGAAAACACACATTGTGGATCAGCAATGAAAGGATCTAAGAAGCAGGAGAGTTTTTGGGAGCTCTAAAGGAGGAGCCTTGCAAATTATGACTAGTTGATACGTGAGAAAAGTTTAGAGAAATTGGCAATCTGGAGTAAAACCTCTCAGTTGACGAACAATGGCTGTGGCCTCAATAGAATGTCTCTATTGCTTGAACCAAGACTCATTTGGCAAAAATAGATAAATTCTTGAAGATCCTGAGTGGATGTGTTTTCTCAGGAGTGCAGTGTTCCTATGTACAGT